CCCCAGCAGGACAAACTCAGTCACATTGTTCTTATTTTCCATGGTGATCTCAAGGTGTTGAATCTGCAAACAAAAGGGCCAATAATGACTTTGACAAGATTGCAAGCTTTCTGTCAAAAATGTGATGCCTTACTCCACAGTGTTTGCTCCATGAGGGCTCACACAGAGTAACTCTTTAGAAATGAGACTTTGGACTCTCCTCCCACAAGCACTCCACTCAATATCACAAATTCCTCGCTTCAACCCTAGTGTGAGATGTCAGTACTCTAACTGGGAAACATATGTGAGTGAGCATATCTGAGATACACACACACACACACCCCAAACAATAAGAAAGCTGCTTTCTCCAGATTCTCTCTCACAAAGATGGCGCTTTTGACTTTACATACCATTTCTATTTTTCCTGAACACATTTTGGCTTCTGAGGGCCACCATGAAAACAATCTCATCTCTAATAACTTGATTTCTATATTTACATAAAGTAATACCTAGGCATGGAGCATAAAACTATAGGCTTACATTTAGATAACTCTCTCTCTGAATTACTATGAGTGCCAAAAATTGAGGAATAAGTCACCCACGGTGTGAGAGAACCAGGCACATTATGAGTATTCATTAAATGCTTATTAAACTCTGTTTAATTAAACTGAATTTCAAAACTCTTAAGAGAACAATTGAATACAGATAATGTATAAAATTCTTCCCAACCAAGAAAGGTACAATGAAAGCAATGTTTTGTTTGAAAATGTAAACACACACACACACACACACACACACAGACACTTATTACAATCCATATTATTGGAGAATAAATGGACAAGGTATACCTAAGTGATTGATACTGTATTCACATTTTCCTACTTTCCAAAATTGTTTAGAATCAATTAATGCTAAGCAGAGCTTAATTAAGAATGCCAAAATAAAATTTTAGGCAGAATCATGGTATATTAGAAAGAATTCTATACCAAAAATCTAGAAATATATACGTTGATCTGGCTCAGTCATCTTGGGAAAATCACATCCCAACTCATTCTTATAGAAAAGTTGATTATCTTTCAGATGTGTTTCTGAAATCTTTTCATAGAAACCTTTATCTTAAATTGCATTTTAACACTTCTGCTGGTAGACTCTCTTTGTATTAATCAGGGTGAATTAGTTTGCATTAAAGTTTGTTTGATTATTAGAGTTATGAGTAGATTAGACTAGTTATATTGTTCATATTTTAAGTTCTTGGTTATCTGAGTCTGTGTGGAATTTAGGACATTCATTCTCACTTGCGGAAAATAAATCATCTCTTGGGCCTTTCCAATATGATCCAGGGCCAATTTTTCATGTAATGTGAATAACTTCATTTTGGCAGAAATATCTCAAAAGCACTTCATTTCAGTGTCTACATTTATAGATTGTCATTTGTGAATGGCAGGGGATTTTTCTATTCTTTGTGCCTCTCACAAACCAATTTGTACATAGAGGAGAGAAAATAAGAGATGA